GACTGAATAAATGTTGAAGTAGGTAAGTTTTATTTTGCTTATCAATTTGTTGTTAGTAATCTCTACAATCACCGTGGGGCTCAAACTCACAACCTGGAGCTCAAGAGCCACGTGCTCCAGGAACTGAGCCAGCCAGGTGCCTAATTTTTTGTATTATTTCCATCATGGCAGCTTTTATATAGTAGTCAAAAATTTACAAAGCAATTTCCCATACATTATACAACTGATTTTCACAACAATCCTGAGCTGGGTATTTTTATTATCCTCATTTTGTGAATGTTAATGGTTGATACTCAAGCGCTCATCTTTTAAGTAGAATGTGAGACTCAAATTCTGCAGTCTTGATTCAGGGCCCTAAGTTTCAGCTTTTATAAACCAGACAACACTCTTCACGGCAATGACTATTAACTGCAGCGTCCCTTTAGAACATCCTAAGTCTCCCAGTGACCCACTCTCACATAGCCCCATGTTGCAGGCAGAATGCCATGCCCCTTCCGCATCTCCACTTCCACCTGCTGACTCCCACTCCCCATCAGAGCAAGCCCTTCCCTAATACTAAAGCTGTAAAGTGGGGATGGAGCTCTTCAGTTATCTCTAAAAAGGATTATGTGTATCTCACATAGACAACAAATGGAAAATCTAGTTGGCGATTTAATGCTTTAATTTTCCAATTTTATTTTGAAAACGATTTTTTGAATGCTTATTTATTTATTTAGAGAGTGCAAGTGTGCTCGCCTGAGTGTGAGTGGGGGAGAGGAAGAGGGAGGGGGAGAGAGAGAATCCCAAGTTGGCTTGCACTGTCAGCACAGAGCCCAATGCAGGGCTCATTCTCATGAACTGTGCAATCATGACCTGAGCCAAAATCAAGAATCTGACGCTTAACAGACTGAGCCACGCAGGTGCTCCTGAAAATGATTTTAAAATCAAAGCAGAGTAGTGTCCTTGACACTATCAAATAACCAATGGTAGGATTAAACTTCTATGTACTACTTTGGGGCTTTCAGAACACTACCAACTACTTCACACACATTCTTCTTGAATATGCCAGGCTAAGTCATAAATGGTTCTGTACTTTGACTAAGATCTCTTGTAGTTACCACACAAGCCACAGATATAAGTTAGAAATCTGTATTAAACATGTACCCTCTCCTTCCATGCCAGATCTAAAAACTGTACAGTCAGGAATCCCCTTCTTTGTTCTAAGTCTCTTTCCTTGCTGTCAGGCATGCTACCTCCAGGTACTATTTGAGAGGAACCCCTCACGCCGTATCCACACAAGTACACTTTGGCAGTGTCCTTCATGGCAAGTACAGCCACTCAACTACAAAACTATGACACTGCCTACAGATATAAGGCTTTTTTTTTTTTTAATGAGTTTGGCTGGTATAAATCAATGCACTAGAAGCTGGACATCAACATTAGCATGAAAAAAAAGTGTGAGAACTAGCCTACCACAGTACAGTAAGTACTTCATAAGGACAAACCTAAAATAGCAGCCCTGTTATATTTAAATGCTCACGTCTGTTACTTGATCATAGAATTTTAAACCAGTGCAATGCAAAACATTCCCTTTTTCTCCACCTGGCCAATTCTCACCAACCTGAGTACTGACTAGAGAACATAAGGCCATGAATCATCACAGGCACACTTAGGCAGGGTGAAGCACACACAACAGCACAGTTATGATCAGATGTTGCCTTCTCTTGTTTTAAACAAGTAATTGACTGTTAACAGTGATTGTCTCTGGGGAGTGGGAATCAAAATGATTTTCATTTTTGTATTTTATGTACTTTACTATTGGCTGAATTTTTACAAAGAGCATGGGTTTTATAATAAGTATTTCCATTTTGAGAAAAAAATAGGCACGGATCACTTTTAATTTGGTTCACATAAAAGTATTTAAGAATAACAACGTCAAAATGTCAGGGTAAAATATATTAGCACAAGAAAAAACAACAAGAGGAAACATCCTATACAGACCAAAGAGACCTCTCAAGCAGACATTTTTCAAATATACCTCCATTTTTTTAGAAGACACTAGATTATAGCTTAAAAATAAAAGTCTAAGGACACTTTTCTGCATTTGTATCCCACAAAGTTTCCTCCCCCTTGGCCCAGAAGGTTAATAGGAAAGGCTTAGCACTTTCCTGGCTGGAGGAGGAGAGGCACTTCTTTTCTCTTGCACATTAGGATATGAAACGCTGCTGCAAGGAACACAGAGACACTCTGAAAAAGCTCTATGAACTTATCATCCCCAGAGCCTGGCAAAAAGAAGAGAATAAGGAAACAGTACAAAAATCTAGCTGTTAATGTGAAATCAAAACACAAGGTCAAGTGCAAGTGGCTGAGACTGTGTTCATGCCCTGCTGAGGTCCTGGTTAAATATGGTTTCTTTTTTCTCTGACAATGATGCACCAGGGCTCCCCCACTACTTCCCCAAAATAGGCCATCACATTGGGAGTGGGAAGAACAAAAAGGCTTCAGGGAAGGCTACTCAACCTGAGTTATTCTATACTGTGAATATTTGGTCATAATAAAGAAATCTCCTAAAATGAATAGAAGATGTTAAGTAAAGGCTCTACAGCAGACTGTCTTTATTCATCTTTGAAAATAGTTTCACATCCATTATGCTTCAATTTTCTCTGAGATGAGGAAGCTCCTACCTAGCTCCCAAAGCCATTCAGTTATTACTGAGACTTTATCAGACATCCAGCAAGCTAATCAAAAGTTTTGAGGTTGGAATGGCCAGCTATCATTCAACCTTCATCTTTTTGCATCCCAGTTCTCCCCATCATATCCACTTGCACTGACAAAATTTCATAGAACCTAATTTCTTCGTTTCTAAGGAGAAGGTGGTAATCCCTTTGAAGTTAACATGAGAACAGCATCCTTCACCAATTCTGGTCCAGACTGCCTTGAACTTCAACTCAGAATCTGATTCTAAGTCGCTTCAAAAAGCCTGGAACCAGTCCTTGGGTTCGAGAAAATTGTTCCTGTGATCCTTTTCCTGCCTTGAGACAAGCTGTATGGAAATATACTTAGGCCAATGGAGAATCTGCGCGTACCTACCACGTGAAGCTCGATTTAGGAGTGTTATTACACACATACAAATGTCTCACTGTCCCCAGAAAGCAACAAGGACTTCTATCAACCGACACTCCCAATTTGGAAAAGGTCATGTCAACCTTTCAAATCATACAGACGCATTGCTTAGGTTAAAAAAAAAAAAAAGGGAAACTGACAAGGGTGGCTGAGCTCAGACGCAAGCCTACATATTTTAGTGGTAACGACTCCCCGATCTACACCCAACACATTTACCGAACACTAACAGAACTTGTAGCAAGCGCCCACCACTGGAATTGAAAGCACTTTCTTCCCAAGAAACACATCATTTCCACTAAAAACTCCCAAGCCCGAGACCCACTACTTTTTTACTGAACAAAAACCGTGTGTGACGGCAAGTGGGGGTGGAAAAGAGCGTGGCAAGAATTTGCACGGCTCTTACGCCTCCTCCCTCGGAGCGCGCCCAAGTCTGCGGCCTCGGGCTCCGGGACACTTCCCCTCCCACCCGCCGAGAAGCCGCAGCTGTAAGTTGAGAGAAGCGGGCTCTGGGCACGTCAATCAACCGGGTCCTCCCGCCTCCCGTCTACACCTCCCCTCCCCTCCCCCCCCCCCAAGGAAAAAATAAAGGCAGAGAAAGAAAGGGAAAAGAAGGTAACTAATTTGGGAACTAGTCTCCGCGGGGGCTTCGCCTGCGACCCAGGGAGGCCGCACGTCCCGGACCAGGCGCGCGGGCGAACGGCGGGGTCGAGCAGGCGGCCCGGCAGGCGCCAGGCGCCGGGTCCTCGCGGCGCGTCCTCCGCGCTCAGGATCCCCGCACGGGTCGGCACCGCTCTCGCACCGCACTCCGCCAGGCCGGCGGCCCGCGTCCTCCCGCCCGGGCCAAAGTTGCGCAAATAGCCCCACAACTGGCAGATACTCACCGGCCGCAGCAGGAACCGGGGCTGCGGAGGTTTTAGGGAGTTTAAGGCAAATCAGCCACGGGAAAGGCGGGCGGAGGCGAAGGGGCCGCGAGCTGCAGTGGCGGCGGCGCGCGGCGTTCGGGCTGGGCTGCGCGGAGAGGCTCTGGCTCTGCCAGGGACTGTGCTGCAACAAAGGACTTCCGCTGCCGCACAGCCGCGCCTGCCGCACCGCACTGAGCCGGCCCCGCTTACGCGGCGACTCCGGGTCTGCCCACCAGTTCGCTGCGGCGTCCGCCAGCCTTCCCCTCCCTCTCGCCCGCCCACCCACTCCGCCGCTGGCTGCTAGGGGCACCCGCGGTCGCCTGTTTGTTTGCAACAAGTTTCTGCGTCGGGCTCCGGGGAGGCTGGCGCAACCCGCACCGCGGGGGCCAGCGCGGCGGCGGCGGCTTTACCACCCCTCTCGCCCCTCTCCCAAGGGTAGGCTTGGGACCTCCTCCTCCTCCTGTTTGCACAGCTGGATAGGACTGGGCTCCTCCCGACTCCCCAAGGGCAGGATGCTGTTTTCCCACTCCGTCCAGATGTCAGACCCCTGCCCCAGAGAGCTCAGCAGCTGGGCCTTCCCTCGCGGTTTGTCCCCGGCGTTCTGGGGGCGCCGGCACCCTCGCCCTGTCCCGTGCGCCGCCAGTCGGCCCGGGGTCACCCATTCCTCGTGCTCCCCCCACTCCGCCTGCCATGGGCTTGTCCGCCTCTGGCCTTGAGTCACTTCCCCCGCCATGCCCCACCCCGCCCAGCCCGCCTCCCCCCGCCCCCCCCCACCAGGCTCGAGCAGCTCGGCCTCCTTGGCCCCGCGCCCCCACCTCTCTCCCCGCGAACACGCGGGCGCATCCTTCCCCACCCCCACCCCCGAACTGAGGCAGTGCTGTGCTTTTTGCACGCCCTGGGGAAAGTCCCCGGGTCACGCGGTTGTGTGTGGGAAGCCTGTAACGCTCAGGCTCATCTCCACGCTTCCGCCTACAGAGTCACGACTGAAGACCGTGGCGGAGGTGCCCAGAGCGCTGGCCGACCCCCGCCGGGCCACTATGAGTAGGCAGGCGGGCGGGCGCGCACGTACGCACGCACGCACACTTCTGCCCTCGCTCGCCTCGTTCCCCGGCTACCAGGCGCGCGGTCACGTGGGCCCATCGCGGGGCGGCCGGCGCGGGAAGCCGCGCGAGAGCGGGCTGTGGGGTGCGTGAGCCGGCGCCGCCGCGTGACGTGCGCGGCGCGGGAGCCGCCCCTCCCGCACGGAGGAGCCGGCTGGCCGCCGCGGCGGCGTCTGGGTAAGCGACGCGGCCCGGCCCCTGTGGGCTGCTCCGGGCTCAGTCCCTCCCGCCGCGAGCCGCCGGGGGCGGCGGCCTGCAGCTGCGCCGGTCGTGGGACAGATGCAAGTAGCTGGGGAGAGGGGTGTTCTGGTCCGTTTGACATGTCAATCAGGGCACAGGAGGAAAATGGCAACCGCTTGTGAGCGCTGGGCCGAGGATGCCCAGAGCCGCCCTTCGCTGCCCGCAGAAGGCGGCTGTCGGGGCCTGACCCCGCGTGGGAACCCCCACCCCCAGCAGGCCTGCGGCGTTCCCCGGGCGGCCGCGCGGACCCTTCTCGCAAGTGGGCGGTCTCCTGGTGCAAACTGCGAGACGCTGCGGCCACTGTCCTCTCCCTTCCCCACCCCCATTTGTGATTACCCCGTTTCTAGGGCAGGAAGTTCCTCCCCCCCCTCATAATTCATTTCTTCCTTTTTTTCAGATTATATTAATTTCATTCTGAGTAAATCCAGTTTTTCTCTTTAAAGTTTGCCCCATTATTCACTGCTTACCTAGCACTCGTCATTTGGAGAAATCAAGCTGCTTAGGCAGCACCTCGCGCTGTACTTGGAACTTGATAGCAGCTAACGTGTTTCATAAAGTAACGCCCGGTTCCCCCGGGGAATTATATTTGGCTTTGGTTCTCTTGAGACTCAGGTCTTTTGGCAGAACTGTTGATTCTCACGGGATTTTGTCAAGCGTGTGAAGTATATGTTGGAATGACAGATTTTAAAGCTGCAAGGGGCCTTAGAGAAGACTAGTTCATCCCTCTCGTTTTATAGATGAAGACGTCCGGCCTAAAGAACGTGTAACTTGATCGAAGCCCTACGCCTTTTGAGTAACTGTACTCTAGGGCTCCGGGCCTTGGTTATTGGGCTCTCCACCACACCAGGAGCACGGTGTCGGTTTAACCCACTCACTGTAGAGACTGCCTGCCAGAGGTGATTATGTTTGGGTTGATTCAGATTATTGAGAAACCAGGCTTGGCCATTGTGTGATGGCTCTGGTATTTTAAGGAGTGGGGTTGGCATTACCTCTAGGTGAAGTAGACTGCCTGTGATGTACTTTGGGGCTCAAAGCCTGTCTCCTCCAAAATTCAGCCCTATTCTCCTCAAGAATAATCAATGTTTGCAGCATTGGTTGTTTCCTTAGGTTAAGGCATCAAAAATCTCTTTAGCAATGTGGAAATGTTTTGGTTAAGGGTAAACTATCCATGATCAGAAATCCGTTCCTTAATAGGGAGTAGAATACTGGGATAGCACTTGTAATAGATCAGTTTTGTTTTAGCTTTGGACGGGTGTGGGGAGGGGGATAGATTAGTTCTGATAGCTGCGAGGTTATGGGAAACAGTGGAACATCGTGGGGTTGGTCAGCAACAAAGCAGGGAGAGGCCTCACGTGACTTGCTATACCTTTTTGCTCAGCCCTTCTCTGAATGTCTTATTTGGAGGTAGCGGAGGTGGATTGTGCTCAGGTCATTGGCTGTTTATTGAGCATCAGCAGTGGCTAGCCACTTTCAGAGGTGAATTTTGAGTAGTTAATCAATAAGAAGGTAGTAAGTATTGTTTCTATGTGACAAATGAGGACACAGACTCAGATTTACCTAGCTTCTGTGATGCTGTCATTTGCAGCAGAATTCAGGGCCAGGTTACTTATCTCACAAGTCTAGTCACTGCTCTTTTGCATTGCATCTTGCTACTACTTCAAGCCAGGAAAGGGATGAGAGAATCGCCTGTGGCTGATTTATTGGCGCCTGTGGTTGCCCAGAGAGGCTGAGCAGGACTTTCAGCTGCCCTCTTTGCCTTACAAAATGGAGCTGTGTGCTTCCACCCTATCTCCTGAGGGGAATGCGCAGGAGCCAGGCTGTCTAGCTGGGGAGGAGGGGCCCAAGAGTCTTGGCCGTAAAATATCCTGGCAAAGGCAGTGCTGGGAAGTGTTGCGTAATGCCCTCCCCACCACTGAACCAAAGTGATTTATTTACTATGGCCCATAGGTGGTGCTTGACCATCTTGTTAAAGAAAGCTTGTCTTTTTGTGTCATAATAGGGTCAGAACAGAGTTGGGGTTTTAGATGATTGCAGGGTTTTTGTTGGTTTTTTTTTTCTCTCTTAAAAAACCAGTGCAGGTGCTCTTATCTTGATAAATTATAAAGTACTTGTACACCACTTCCTGTGCCCCCTTTTTGCTTATTTATTCCAAATTGCATGCGAACGTCAGTCTTTTGAGAGACGGATGCTAAGAAAAGTACTATTCCAGTTTAGAGTTACCAGTGCAGGTTATGGAGACAGGCCTAGCTTTTGATCCCCACTTTGTACTATCTGCTACTTGTGTATACTAAGTCTAGGTTTTTCCTTATCTGTAAAATGAAAATAAAAATAACACATAGTCAACGTGAGGACGAGGACGAAAAGAGAGAATGTGCATAGAGTACTTAGCACAAGGCCTTGCATGTAGTATTTACTTAGTATAACAGTAGCTACTTTAACTAGAACAGTATTACTCTAGCATACGAAAGATACTGCTACTTGAATTTGTTTAGGGAGAGTGGAGGAAGAGGAAAGTACGTGAAACAAACCTCAGTTTTAGTAATTTATTCACACATCTGCTTTCCTTTTGCCAGCAGGATTTTTTTTTAATCTTTAAAAAAAAATTTTTTTTAATGTTTATTGTTGGGGGAGGGGGAGGAGAAAGAGAAGGAAACACAGAATTCAAAGCAGGCTCCAGGCTCCCAGTTGTTAGCACACACTATGTGGGCTCGAAGTCACAAATCGTGAGATCATGACCTGGGCCAAAACTGGGTGCTTTACCGACTGAGCCACCCACGTGTCCCATTTTAAATCTTAATTGAAGAAAAAGTGTTTATAGTATTGTTAGTTATTTTTGAAATTTTTCTAATTCATTTGTTCCCTGCATACATCAGTCATACAATGACTTTTGGTTCCTTGTGAAAAACTCTGGGCACCTTAAGCAAAATTGACCCATGTGTTTGTGGAGCGTTCTGTGGTACAGGGAGTCCTCGTTCACCTATATTCAGGTGTTGTAATTATTCTTGTGTGTACTGTATTCTAGGTCTGTCCTCACACTGTTGTTACCCAACTTTGTGCTCTCCTTTGAGTACCTTATTTCTTCTCTTTCAGAAATGCAGTCATTATTCTTTTAGTGGACTGAGAAGAATTGTTTATTTTCCTTCAGAGGGTTCTGATTTTTTTTTTTAAGGTCCACTAGCAGTTTGCACTCACCAGTCTTAGCATTCATGTTCGCCTGGTGCTGCGGCTTTATCAGGCACCCCACATGTTGGTTAGATGGGGGTTAGAGATGTCGTGGGCTGGCCGGGTCTGGCAACAGGCAGGAGGCCCCAAACTGACGTTTCCCTGTTCCGTTGAAAGGTTTCTAGAGCATAACTGCTCTTCCTGTGTCATCTACCACGTCTGCTGCTTACCCTCTTCTCTAGCATTTTCAGTGATTTTCATAAGCAGATGCCTACAATTACTGTATGTTTTATCTCAGTGTTTTCAGATTTGTGATTTCCTTATGATTTTCAGATATTATAATAGGCATAATGGTGTATGAGAGTAAATACCTCTGTTTCCTAAATACTTTTTTTAGAAGAAGCCTGAAATGATGTGTTCCTCCTTTGCCCCCAGTGTCCATTCTCCTAGTTTGGGAGACTTTTGTTTCTTAGAATCTGGCTCATTTTTTTGTTTAATGTTAAATTAGAAGTACAATAGTTGATTTTTTTCATTTAGTGTAATTGGTATAATTCCCACATTTTGAGCACTTCTTCTAAAATTGCTTCTTTTTCTCTGTAATTGTAGAGTGTGAACTGTTCTCTTCGGTTTGCTTGGTTTCCTTCTAACACAGTGATTCTTGACTGAGGCATCCTATTAGAACTACCCGACAAGCTTTTTAAAAAAGGATCTGAGCCTCACAGCAGTTCTCTCTGGGTTAGTATGGAGTAGGATGCAGGCATCAGCCCCTGCACTCAATGAAAGTTTTACAGGACAGTCAGTGATAAGAGCTACTGGTCCACAATAAAATGATCTCTGCAAACATCCTTTCTCTAGATTGTAAAATGTTACACCTCCACAGTCATGGGAAAGTACCATTAAAAAATGAAAATCATTGTATAAAGTCTGTTATCACTTGGCACTTTGAATATACCTGCTTTTATCTTTGTATTTATAGCCATGGGTAAGTATCTCAAAAAAGCTGTACACATTTATCTGCCAACTTTTCTATCTCTTTGTCTTAATTATAATTAATAATAAAGTCACAGTGGTAGGACCCACAGAGAAAATATATCAGCCTGTTTATTTTCTGCAGAAACAGATGCCCTATACCTTATGTCTCTTTTTTATTAAAGATTCATACAGCCTGAGAGAATGAAAAGCTGTGTATTCAAGGATGCCGCCTGTCATCTGGCTACTATAGAGCTGAGAGTCTAGTCTAATACAATAGATATATTTTAATAAGTAAGGATAAATAAAATAAAATTAAAGGATGTTAAAATGAACTAATTTTGAATTAAACAAAAATAGATACTGGCATAAAGCTGTTCTAGCCTACTTAGTTTGAGCTAATCCAGAGTTACTGCAATTGAGTTAGTAAATAAGATTTTGTAGTTTTTCTTAAATATCAATACTGATTTTATTATTATAAATACTGCTTTGATAATAGATAAAGCATCTTACGGCAAAGTACTCTTTCATTTTGGCTGTCTCATTTGTCAGTGTAATAAAATTATTTTTCTGCAGCCTCTCTCACATCCTAAAATTGCCACCCAAAATTCCTTTCTTCTTAACTCTTTTTCTTTTTTTTGAGAGGGAGGAAGAGAGAGAGTCTTTTTTTTTTTTTTTTTTTTTTTTTTTTTTTTTTTTTTTTTTTTTTTTTTTTTTTTTTTTTTTTTTTTTTTTTTTACAAATAGTTTATTGTCAAGTTGGTTTCCATATAACACCCTGTGTTCATCCCCACAAGTGCCCTCCTC